AACCGAAACATAAAGACTGCGGTTGCCTCCCATCTCCTCGTCCTGTCTTCTCAAACTCATTTCCTTCTATAGAACTGATTGAAAACCAATCCTAGAAGCCTGGTTTTCCGAGCAGCAGATGACTGGGTTTGCTAGCGAAGGGGCTGCTAGGCTGGCTTTAGGTATCAGAATTTCCTGTTCATTTGCCTGTGCGCTTCATTTTGCAACCTTGTGCAGCTGATAGACAGGCAGGCAAGCAGGCTGGCGGGCAGGGACCAAAGCCTTGCCCGGCGCCTTCGGCCCGCGGTTCCGGAAGGCAAGGCGAGCGCTCTGTTAAGCTAGGAGAATCGCAAGGAGAAGGGTACTCACCATCGGGCGGGGTGGTGGAGCTGGCGTGCGGATTTCAGGCAAACGTTTACCTTTTTGCTGTCTATTGCAACCGCGCCGGGCTGACTTTAGAAGCAATTCTGTTCTCTGTGCAAAACGTTCATGGAAGGGTTCCTCATTTAAAAAAAAAAAAAAAAAAAAAAAAAAGCCAGCGAAAGAGACGACAGAGGCAGAAAGAAAAAGAAAGGAGGGGTGAGGGGGACGCACATAAACCCAGTTCAAAAAAAAAAAAAAATCACCTCTTCACCAGTGACTCGGGAAACGTAGAGACGACGAGATCCCAGTGCGATCCAACCAAGCCACAGCCAAATAATTTTCAATCCTGAAGAATTATTCAGATTAAAATGTACAGAAGTTTCCTTCTCCTATGCCTACGTGAGCCCCAAGTCGTTTCCCTTTAAGGGCTCCTTTTCTTTTAAAGTTGGATTTTAGACAGTGAGGACTCTTACACTAGGGGGCAGACAGATACTGTACTTGCTCCAATCTTAAGCAATTTTTTCCCTCCCAGCATATGCTCTGATTTAGCACTGTAAATTTTTCAGAGGACCCAACTCTGACAGCCCCTGGTGATTTTCAAAGTACCACAAGCCAGTGGTTAAAAATTGCATTGACTTGGAAGTTCAGAGGGACACAATGGAAGCCCCTTCCCTATTCACGAGGCTCCAGTGTGGTGGAAGAGAAAAACACACACGACTAGATTGAGGGAAAGGAGAAATTCAATGGATCCTGGATTCTACTGAGCTCAGAGTTAAACTCCGCATTGCTGGGGTCTGTATTCATATTGTGATTTAATCTGTAAAGAATTACAGACCAGCCAACCACTTTCTGTAAGGAAACCATATTCCTGCGAATTGGGGATTTTTTTTTTTTTTCAGATTAAGACTAAATTTTTTTCTAACTCTGACCAGTCAAATAAAGCTTGTCACCATTCTCATTAAAATAAATTTACATTTGCAGTAAAAGGCTTGGTTGGAGTTTTTAAAATAATAATAATAATAATATATAGATTTGTACCTGTTAGTCTAAGGACACCTGGGCATCATTCATAAGGGCTTTAAAAAATATTTTTTACTTCCCCTACCCTCAATTCGGCTTTCCTGTCTTTTCATCCACTCAGTAAAATTAGCTACAATTCATATGGTGATTTTTTCTCTTTTTCTAAGCAGCATTTCTATAGCGAAAGCAAGCACCTCTGACTTGATAGTAGCGAGATGGCTATGTGCCTAGCTGTCTGTAATTCTGTGATTCATAATATATATGGGATTTGAAGGCTGTAGTTTCTTTAGCTAGAAAAATGAAGAACACACACAAATACGTATATGAAGCTTCTCCTCAAAAAGAATCTGTGTGTGTGTGCGCAAAGAGTAATCTTACCATGGAAATGGCTGCACTGTAGAGGCAAAGATTAACATTTCTCTATAATCAATTATGCTCATCTATTAACTTGAGATGGGAATACCTATTAGATTTCCTGTGTCAACCTCAGTCTCACTATATGCTGAGCTTGCCTCTATTCTGAGATTTGAAGCATCAAATAATTCCTTAGTGAGAGAAGTTTAAAAAAAAATTCCAGACTTCTCTGAAATGATTTATTTTCCATCTTTCTTTCTTGTTCTCTGTAGGAGAAAGTTATATAGTGTCTCTAATCAGCCAGAAATGTTCAGCCTGGCTTTACTCTGTGGCCACCTTATTACACATCAGGTTTATGATAGGCTAGTACATGCTAGAGCTTGTTATTTCTTAAAACATTCAAATAATCACAGCACCTGCCGCTTTATTGCAATATGTGATTTCAGTAAAGAAAGAGAGGGCTAAGGAAGACTTCAGGGAGAAGCTTAAATAGGATGCTTTTTTTTTCCTTGCCGAAAAGTCAGCTTCTGCCTGCCCACGTCTTCATGTGTTCCTTGTCTCACACTCTGCCTGTATGTGTAAAAGAAACAGCCTGAAAGTGCAGTTTTCTCACGTCAATTGCACGTTTGGTTTATTTTATTAAAGTAACTTTATATTGCCAAATTTCTGTGCTGCCCAGGATGCTTTTCTGAAGTTGTCAATTTGCTCTTTATAATGTGCCCCCCTTCCCCCCCTGTAGCCCAGCATCTTTTGTGTAGAAATAATTTAGTTGTTGGTAAAGCTGTTGGATTTATGGATTTAGTTTTTGTCTTGGTGCAAAGTATTCCCTATTAGACACAAATTTCTCATACAAATACGGAATCCTCACAATCAACTAACTGGACCTAATCACACAACAAGTTTAGTCCGTGAAATATAATGTGTCCTGGGGTGTAGTTCTATATGTTTAATGTTTGAAACTGGGGCACAAATTCAGATAAGCAATATCAATGGTTTGGGCACTCTGAGCAGAATGACATAGGCTGTGAGGCTGTTTTTCCTAGTGATTCTCTGGAGATAGACTATGGCTTGTTTGTGGTTCTTCTGAGTTATGCTGGTATTATTTCCAATTTGGAGCAGGCTCTCTGGGTGTGTTTTAATGACTATACGGATATTTAAGGAGAATTTGAACAATGAACTCAGTATTCAACTGTTCTGTGACCTAGCAGCATCTTCTTGGACGTCTTTGTCTGTGTACATTGACAAATGTTCATCTGATACATGTGCGTTTACATGTGTGTGCAGAGGGTGTGCAGAGGCGAGGCTGAGCGGCTGCCTCCGCCTGTCCATCAGCGGGAAGAAAGGTCTTTCTCTCTCTTTTCATGACCGTGTGTGTGACAGGTCACCGACTGGCCAGTTAGCTAAAGCCAATGAGAGAAAATAAAGTTGAGGGGAATTTTTTTTTAATTGCGTCACGACAATGAGGTGAAGTCTACTTGTGCTTCTAAGCATCCGAGATGCTTCATTTGAGCAACTAAAATGTCAGGCCACAAATCTATAAAATACTAAACCTCCAAAAAAAAAAAAAAAAAAAAAAAATCAAAAAAATACTATTCAAAAAAAAAAAAAAAAAAAAAGCAAATATCGAACGGTTTCTTTTCAAACAAACAAACAAACAAACAAAAAGGAGCTACCAAACCGAACAAGTGATGAGAGTTCATTAAGCAAAGGATTTGCCACCACTCGGATCTAGCCAAATCTTTCGTTTGCAAGCCCAGATCCAGGCACCTTGCCACCTCCGCTGCGTACCCCTCTACAAAGAAGGGGGGAGCATTATCTGCCTTTGGCATCGTGGACTTTTACATAAAGCGCCGGGAGTCCCGGGTGGAGCGCGAGCCGCGCGTTTAGTGGCTTCGCCAAGTTGCGAAGAGACTTAAAGTCTTCGGCTCCATCCTCAAGCTCTCGCGGAACCTTTAAGAGGCGTAGCGTGGTGCGCCCGCGCGCTAGCCTCGCCGCGAGAAAGGCAACCTCGGGAGCCGGGTGCGGGGCGAGCGGGGTCCGCGCTCCCGTGCCCGCCCGGGGCCCATCCCCCGCTCCGCGGCCCCGGGCGGCGCGGCCACCCGTCCCCGCCCCCCTCCGTCCCCGCGCGCCCCGCGCGGCACTCCGCGACGCCGCTCGCGCTAGGACCGGGCTGCACTCGCCGCCGCCATGGCGGGGCCGCCGCGCTCCGGCCAATGACGGCGAGGGGGCGGCGCGCGCGCGCAGGGCCAGGCCAACCCCGGCGGCTGCCTTATAAGGCGCGCCGTCGCCATGGCAACGTGCGCTAAGTTGCAGCAGTCGTGTCAAAGTTCACTATATAGAGAGCTCAGTGAGCTGATCGCGGAGAAGCCACTTCTGCCAGCCCCGGCGCCTATAAATCGCATTCCCTCCCGCGCCCCCCTTTTTAGCATATTTGATCACTTTGATTCTGCTCTTTTTCTCTCCGCGGTGTGTGCGTGCGTGCGCGCGTGTGTGTTTTCTTCTCCTCCTCCTCCTCCTCTGCCGGAGTTGCCTCCTTTCTCCGGGCGCCGCGCTGCTCTTCCCTCTTTCATTCTTTCTCTCCGTTTCTCCCCCCTCTGCGCACGAAGGATGCGCTTCTAGGTGCTGATCTGCCCTCCTTTCTCTCTTATCATCTCTCCCCCGCCGCCGGCGAGTTGACTCTTTCCCTATGTGTGTGAGGCGGCGGCGGCAGCGGCAGCAGCAGCAGCAGCAGCGGCGGCGGCTCCGGCGGAGGCAGCAGCGGCAGCAGCGACTCCACCGGCGGCGGCGGCGCTAGACGCGGCGGCTCCGGGCCCGACCCGGAGGCTTCGGCGGCGGCGGCGGCGGGGAGGGCAGATCAGC